GCCGCGCCGCGGCGACAGCAGCTCCACCCCGCGCCGCAAGGGCGTCATCGCCAGCTGCGCGGAGGGGTCCTCCAAGGGCGAAATCAGCACCCCGCCCCCATTCCCGACGCTCCCGTAGTGCACATAACGCCGCAGCTGCCCCACCCGCTCCGTGAGCTCCTGGTAGGAGTGCTTGAGAAGCACCTGCTGGTGGGAGAAGAAGTCGTTTAGCTCAACGCACAGGCGGTGGATGAAGCCCGCCAGTCTTTCCTTCTCCAACGCGCTCGCGCGAGCGGCCTGGTTGCTATCGGATGAAAGTTCCATCTTTTTAGATTGGAGTTTTTGAGGGGAGGGAAGGCGTATTCAGCCAAATGGTAAACAAATGGTTGCGTTGAGTGGTCGGATCGTGGGATTGTGCCTCCAAAATGAAACACTCCGTAGGTGTATGTATGTGCGAAAGGATTCTCGTGTTTTACGATCCTCTCTGAAGCACAGTTGCCTTTTTCCCCTTCTACACACTCCTACCAAATTATGGCTTTCAAAGAAGAAAGCCAAACGTTGTAGCACACAGACAGTTCAGAATTTTTTTAAGCTATTATAAGTGTATTAAATGATTTAGTAAACAAAAAAAGCAGATGTATTTCTTTTATGTCTATTTGAAAATTACCTTTCAGTCTAGATAGTCTTTGTTATAGACCGTCAATCTACTCAAAAGTAAAACAGCTAACTAGCAACTTGTAATAAAAGGGCAATACGTAATCGAGCGAACAAATATATAAACCATTGATTAAGACACATCCAGATACCAATGATCACAAGCAAATACAAAGCATTGTGTGGTTAAAGTAAATATGTGAATTAAAACAAGGAAAACACATTCAGAAAAAAATTGTCCGTTGTTACAGAAATACTATCGCGATAGCGCAACTATGATTTTAAAAGAACATCCACCATCACCACCTACACTTCCCCCCAAAAATCTATATATTCTGATTTTCTATCAAATGTACAAAGCAAAATATTTTAGACAAAGTTAAAAAATATTTCCAATAATCCGAAAAAATACTATAAAAACACTATGAGTGGACCATCGCAGATGTGTATAGGAGAAACGTTAGCACGTAACAATGCCAGTATTTGTTATGATCATCTCCAAAAACTAAATAGTTCAAAGTGCTTAGCAAAATACGATGCTATGATTACCAGTAATATTATTTAGGTTTGAATTTTGAAAGAAAAGTAGAGCTGAAGGCGGATGAAATAAAACACACATACAAACATAAAAAGTTAAATAGCAGAGTGGTTGAAATTTTAGGATTGATCAACCCTTGTGAGCTATCACAACCGTCCTCAGACATACATCTGTCAAAAGGCACGAATATGAAACCTCATTAGAAAAAGGTTACAAATGTATATTCATATTTGAAGCGTATACTTGAAAAAGATAGGAAACCATTCAAAATCAGACATCCTATCTTATTTTCGCCATCAAAAATATTCAAAGAATGGAAAAAGCAATCTTTAGAATGAACAAAAACTAAATAAGTGATAAAAAAAGGAAACTCACCAGGTTCTATCAAAATAGAACGCTTCAATCAAATGCTCTGTTCCTTTTGGTCTTTATATATTACTTTTTAGTTGTTGAACAGGGTTTTGATGTTCCCCTTTTCTTACTCTATGGTCGCCGAATAGAATATAAATGGTAAAAAATCTTTCGTTTTTTTTTGCTATTTCGGTCAAGTGAAGAGGAAACAGCTTCCCCCCCCACACAAAAAGTAAAGGTGAAAACTCTTAGCTTGTCAGTTCTGACAGCTTTAAGACGTATTCAAATCGTTCGCTCTCAGTCATTTCCTCTAGAGGCTTCGTCAGCGGCATGAGGTCTTGAAAACGAAGCGGTACATGCCGCTGGAGTTTTGCACGCAGGCAGATATAATAGTTTCGATTCTTCGAGTCATCTTTTGATATTGGCTTCGGCGCATGACCTAGCGGCTGTAACCCGAGGGCCTGGCAACTCTCATTGCAGTTGTGGTTTTCTATCCACTTATCAATCCCATCCTGCCCCATATTCCCCATTCCGAGGCCTTTTCCATCCTCCGTATGGATCTGTGGATCGGTGAAAAGGTCGTTCACGCCTTGAATATCACACACCAGCATCGATCCCCCGCTTTCCACGAGTGTGTAGTGCGAAAAGGACTCGGCGGTTTCGAAAATCATCCGTCGACGTTTGGTTTGGGTGTCTGTAGCATCTTTGCGTTTATCCTCTTGGTACACCCCACCAAAATTGCTATTGTACTTCGTAAAATATCCTTTGAGCTTCGGCTCCATCACAAACATCATTTCCTTAGTATCTTGTGTGGTGTAAGAGAAAAACCCAGTTTGCATGCCCTTATAGTCCGGCGGAATATTACACTGGGGGATCCGCACCACATAGCACTGCAAAAACGAGATATTTGGCTTCGTGACCCCTCGGAGGTTAATTCGGTTAAAACTATCCGCAAAAATCTCGCACATGCACTGGGCCTCGCCCTCGTTAAAGTAATCCTTCTCGACGACGTCGGTAATCAGGCGGCGGAACATCTTCGCCACCATCCCGGTCGACCGCCCCTCCTCGTCGAGCTCCTCGACATCATAGCAAATCCGCATACCCCCACATCCGAGGGCTTTGCCCGGGCGTACCACACGAATCAGGGTATCGAGCTCCTTCCAAATATAAGAATGGAGGTCAAAAACATATTTTTTCGCCGGACAGGTCACCGGGGGGACTTCTACGAGGGGTTTTACCTTTTTTTGGTAATTACGGCCACAGAGGCCTTCGGAATTTTCCGGCTATTCAGAACTTGCGCGTTCATGAGAGAGGGAGAGGTGATCGTTGTAATGCGTGCTATCTTGGTCCCTTTGAAAGTTGGTTTCCTAGTTAATAAACAGAGAAAGGAAAAGTAAAAGTACATATTACATATGGGGGGTGAGGGAAAGACTTACCACACACCACAAGTTCAAACATAGTGCCCGAAATTTTATGAAAGTGAATCATCTACCGATTCATGTCGGATAAATTTCTTTTTATTTCTCCATTCTATTCATGCTTTGCGAGTAACCCTTAAATTAATAAAACCGGACAGAAATACCTCGCGCCACCTTATTCTACCATACACTTTGTATAGAAAGAGAGAATGATTATTAATTGTTTGTAATTCTCATGTCGATGACAGAGCCGCTTGCTCTCTTTTTTTCTCCATCATTATCTCCCTCGCATCCTCGTAGATCTTCCAAAAAATTTCCCCACACGCGGCGGTCGCGTTGAGCTTCGAAGCCAACAAAATAATCCCGCTCAAACGGCGATGGAGAGAATAAGAGAGCATAGGTGGGGGTCGCAGGCGATGTTTTAACATGATGGGCAAGTATTTTGAAATCTGAGAAGGCAAGTTCTCGGAGGTGAAATCGTAGGGATTCATTGGATCACGAAAGGGCTTGCCAAGTAGCATAACACTGCTTACATGCGCATCGACCATCTCGGGAACCTCACGGCCTGATAGAAAGCCGAGCTTCGTGCTCTTTTTGATAATACCTTCTCGATCCATCCGCGCGGCGGCGGCAACCACCTCCAGATAATCTTCCGTAAACTCTAAAGGGTACTCCCGTGCGGCACCAAAATCGAGTAAGTGCATACGATTTGCCTCCGCATCGTAGATAAAGTTGGCGTAGTTTGGATCGGTTTGCATAAAAGACCAGCAAAAAAGTTCCTTCAAAGTTAAAAGTAACATCTTTTCAGCCAAAAAATTTCGAAAATCCTGCGGGATATCGTCGCGTTTGGTGAGTTTATCGACAGATATTCCAGGAATGAATTCGGAAATCATCACGTTGTCGGTGCTTAACGACTGAAAAACATACGGAACAGAGAAAAAGTCGCTAAGCGATGGATCCGCGTTAATTAAACCGTAATATTTATTCTGCTTAGCACCTTCGAGCGTATACTGGCATTCCATTCGAAGCTCATCTCGCATGTCCCTCAGGACCTTATCCATGAAGAGCCCGGATGGAAAAATATTGAGCCTCATCAAAAGTTTCAGGTTTGCAATGTCAGAATCAATGCTTTGCGCTACGCCAGGGTACTGCACCTTCACCGCCACCTCTACCGAATCTTCCTCTGCCTCTGCGCTTTTTAGTTCACCCTCGCCTTCGATCGCCTTCTTCGCCACGACACTACAACGACGTTGCTCTTCATCCGAAAGCGCCTTTAGCTTAATGCGCGCGCGATGCACCTGCCCGATGCTTGCCGCCGCGATCGGGGTCTCCTCAAAGTCCAAAAACAGCTTTTCCTGCCAGTTTTTGTCTTTAAATTCCACATTAAGGACCTTAACAAGTTGTTTTGTGGGAATTGACAGGGCCTGATCACGCACGCGCGCGAAGAGGGCGGTGATGTGCGCGGGTACCATCTCCTCGTCCTGGATGCTGAGCATCTGCCCGAGTTTTAACACCGCACCGCGCATCCGACAGAGCGTCTCCACGATGTTTTGATGACTGCGAAGGGACAGTAGGCCCCCTTCGGGGGTTGTCCCCACCGCCTTATCCCACGCTATTTTTGCCAGAAGCGAAGTAAACCCCGCGGCGCGGCTCGTTCGGGTCGCGGGAAGGGGCTTCGGACGATTTGCCCCCTCCCTTAACATCCCAGACTGGGATTGAGAATTCGCGCGGGTGAGGTCCTCCACAAGCCCCTGGGGTAGTTCCCGCGAAGACGCGTAAAAAGGCTTCGCGATGGATGAAACGGTGGAGGAGGGCGGCTTTTCCGCTTTGGGGCTCTCCTCCTGCGGGGAAACTGAGAAAAAGGACGACGGTGATGAAGAGGGAGGGGGGGTCGATGGGGTGAAGGGGGAAGAGAATGGCGAAATCGACGATAAAATATTCCCAATGCCACCCACCACATTACCTACGTGAGATAAACGAAGCGTAGAAGATGATAACATGGAGATTTTACAATGATGCATGACGGCTAAGGCATGTAAAAAAAAAATAACACTTTCGTCGTGTGATTTTACAGGGCTTTTAGTCAAGGTTATCTATTATAAATTGGCAAGTCCAAATTATAGAGTGATGCCAATATTTATGAACTTGGAAGAAAACCCTTGGGAATGAAGCACAACCCACAGCAAGTCCAATATTACGAAGTATCGGAAGTGCACAATAAAGGGTTTTAGAACTAGAAAATTGGAAAATAAAAGATGACAATATGAATGAAATAAGGAAAAATAGTAGATGTTAATGAGTAGTTGATGGAAAACTTGAGTTGCATAAGTTCATGCCCTGAAGATAAGCACCAATAAGATGTATTTTTTTTAGGGAGCCATTATGTGTTCGTGGGGTGTGGTGTTTTTTGTTCTTTCCATTATTGCTATTTTGTTTGACTTTTTATCGACAGATAAAAATATAATATTAAACCCAAAACAATACTTTCTGAGTTCGTAGTGAGTCCTACCTCTTAGAAATAGTAATTCCAAAAATAATAATAATATTCTAAACACATTATCATGGACATCTTGATAAGTGCTTGACATTGAAAATCATTCATAGCCTACATAATAAACCTTTATTAAATGTGATATGCGTGTACACACAAGTTTATCTATATCTATACCTATCTACATATAGATATAGATATATTTATATATTGATGTACTGGTCGGATCAAAGTACAATCACAGTTTCGATCGACTTCCGATACTTTTTTGGAGAACCCTGTCGTTTAACTTGAGAAACCACTCCGCGACGCCCTTTTTCGAGTTACCCTGCACGTTATCTACCACCGTGCCGACGTACTTCATCAACTGGAGTTGAATCTCTACCGCGTTGTCGAGGTGTTCCATCATAATCGCCTCAATTGATGCGCAGACCCGATTCAGCACCTGCGTATTCGTGCACTGGAGAAGGTTTGCGAGGGCGGAGAAATAGATCACAAATCGTTTATGCGTCTCGGCGACAAAACCGGGCGTCGCGTTCCACAACACGCACAAGATATCAAAAAGCGAGGAGGCGATCAGCAGGACAGCGTTAATTGGGGTGAGCCGCTGAAGTCGTTCCGCGTGTAGGCCGATGGCGTCCGCCAGGGCCGGGGATAGCGCAGGGGTCTTTCCCTCCATCAGTCGCTGAAGCGCCACCCCATCGCTGCTTTCGAGACCCTGACAAACCACCCGAACGCAGGCCGCGAAGCGCTTGAGCAGCTCGAGCGGCGGAAGGCCGTATTTCGGCCCCGGGGTGTCGATCCCCCCGTCCTGCAGCGTTCTCGTCGGGATGAAGACGGCGATATAGGTTGGGGCGAAGAGCGCGCTCACCGCCTTCCGCGAGGTGAAGGCGGCGATGAGGAAGTCGTGCGCGGCGATCGCGAGGCTGACCCCCCCCTCCCGCAAGCACGGCAAGGCGACGTCGAGCCAGTGCTGGAGCAGCACCGCGTCCGGGATCACAAAGGCGGGGATGGGGTTCGCCATGGCACGCAAATAGGCCTCCACCAGGCCGGCCTGTAATACGCCCCCCCCCCCCCCCTTCGGCCCAGGTCTGCGGTCAGGGGCACCAGGCGGTGGGTGAGGACGCGCTGGAGGGCCTGGGCCTTCATCTGGTCCGTCAGCCAGGTCAGGCGGTGGGGGATCCGGGGGAGGGCGCGGGCCTCGGGCCCGGAGGGCGCCGCGCGGATCGGGGTGCTCACCCGGAGCGCGTAGATCCGCGCGAGGTCCTCCAGCCGTGCGAGGAGGTCCGCCCCGAGCAGAAGCTCATCCTTCGCGAAATAGAGGAATAACAACTCCACCGCGGCGTGGGTCATCTCCCACAGGCCGTGGGACGGCCCCCCTGCCGTGGAGGGGGTGAACATTCCCGCCATGACGTCGGCGTGGGCGCGGTGGTAGGCGTGGTTGGCGTCGTAGATGGTCTGGATGATACGGGAGAGGACCTCCAGCAGGGTGTCGCGCATAGCCATCCCAGAGCCTCCCTCCTTCAAAGGAAGGGGACTCATCTCCCTTTCCGCGGTCGTAGACATCGTCGTTAGAGGACCAGACTCCGTAGCATCCCGCAGTAGTTCCGAGGTGGTGGAAATAACAAGCTCAACCCATTCCCTTGACAAAAGGGGCTGGAAAGAAAAGAGCATGTTCACTGTCTGAGCTGATGGATCATTCGCGCCCTCCTTGCAAAAGAGCTCGAACCCCACACTCTGAAAGAGATACCGGTTCATTCCCATCTGCAAAGCAATCACGGATGGAAAGGAGAGCAAGTCGTGTTGAACAAGGCCCTCACTTGTCGACATCCTATAAGAACAGGCTAGCAAAAGACGAAGCACGTCCGGGGAATCCTGGACACTGGGCTCATCGGTGAGCTGTGTAATCCGCGCCCGGCGCCGCAGGGCGTCGTCGTCGGTCAAATCCGCCGTCTGCATTCCTCGGACTGTGGCGAGCACTAAAAGCTGAAAGTACGAAACCATCGGCGATCCCCCATCACTTGGGATAAGGCTTTCGTTCATGACCTCGTCGAGGTGGTGTGAGAGCGCCTGCCGGGTATTTTTCACGCCAGCCTCCCTTCGTGAGCCCGACGCGATCCTCGCCGCGTTCGTTTGGTTGCCCAACGCGAGGCAATCCTCCACGGCGGCCATTGTGCAGGTCATCATCAGAAGCTGCCCGAAAACGGCGTTGTCAGGGTGTTCCGGGACGTCCTGAAACCCTTTCACGGCGAAGTAAAGAAGCTTAAACGCCTCCCAGCGGTATTTCGGGCGGCGAGCGAGCCTCCCCCACACCAACTGCGCAGCGATGACCTCAGTGTTGTTGAAATCGTTTCGGCGAATCGTCAGGAGGACGTGAATGAGTGTGGAGAGCGCGCGGCAGTAGCTCACGTGCGTAATTGGGCCGAGCCCGCTCGCCAACCATCCCTCCTCGGCATTAAAAAAGCGCAGGATGGGGTCGACTTCGATCTCCGCGTGCGCTGCAAAGGCAGCGATGAGCAGCCAAAGGGTGCTGATATTCTGCGCAAGAAGCTTTATGGTGTAGTGGTCAGATTGGGAGTATTGCGCGGCCTTCATCGATCCTCCCCTGAATTCATCTCTGGGAGATATTATCTGATTCAACCAACTCGTGAACTTTTGGCAAAGGCGAATAACAAGCTCAAGGTCCCGTTCAGTGATGAAATTCACCTCTTCGATTCCTTTCCTTCCATGTGAACGAGCGTGTTCAAAAGCCATCAAAACGCCGACGATGTACCGCACACGAATTAAAACAGGATAAAGACGGGCGCATGAGCGGCGTACTGAATTTGAACTTTCCGCAAACGACTGCGCGTTATCCCTTATGGGCACTTCCCCCGGGGCCGATCCCGCAGTGAACAAGGAAAGAAACCCCAAATCATCAGGAGCACTCGATGATAGCTTGGGCGTTGGCAAACCCATCGCGTTTGTTAGCTCCCTAACCCGCTCTTTAGTCGTATCGACTTTGGGGGACAAATCGATGGATTTGAGGGTGAATAAGTCCGTCTGAGCCGCCTCGCCACGAAGCATGCCCCAGAGAAGTAAAGAAAGCGCCTTGAAGTCGCACCTCACGTTGGCGTGTTCCACCAACAACGAGGCATTCTTGCATAGATAGTGGAGGTCTTGAGGACTAATGAGGTGGATTGCCTCGGGGCGGGCGTGGATCTGGGTGGAAGCCCGTGAGGTGGACACCCCAAGAGCCTCTAGAATTGCGTTAAGCCTCCCAACACGGGCAGCAGAGGTATTTGCATTTTCACCCCCAATGGCGACGATGGCAATCGGGGTAAACAAGGAACCTCCGACGTCCTGGGATAAGGGCAACATTGCGTGTCAGAGACAGTGCGTGCGCGGATCGGCTGATAAGATTGTGAGTGTGTTTGATTCACAAACCGCGCTTGGATGGAATAATGGATAAATTAATAGGAATAGACGTCAAAGTAAATACGTATAGGTGAATTAGCTTTTTAATAGGAGACAGCTACAGAAAAGGCTTGGTGGTGTGGAAGATAAAGTAAAGTAAAAAGAATCAGAAGAGGTACACCTATACAATATAATATAACAAAGAATCTTTTGAATATGTGTAAATCTTCCTAAACTTATAACGTATCGAAGTTTTCTTAGTCACATGACATCTTTATCAAACAATGCCAGGAATACCATGATTTTGCACTATGTTAATATAATTCATGTATAGGTACATATTATTAAGGCTACCTCACCTGAGGAATCTTTTGATCATGTTATTTGTGAAAGGGACTAAAAAAGGTGACCCCTCTCCAATCAAAAGTCCCTTGGATTTTATTTCCAATAAATAAATTTTAAAGTTCAGTTTTAATCCTTGCCAACTGAGCTCGTATATTAATCATACATGAAAAAAAAAAGAATAATGTTAAAAATGATAATAACGCCTAATTAAAAAGAATATGCAAACATAAATATAACAAAAAAAATCTGATCAGTTTTAAATACAATGGTAGGGGTAATATTCACATTGGTTTTTCATCCATAGTTTGAAGTATCAACAGCAAACAATTTTACGATAGTTTTATAAGGCCTAAAATTAGTGTTCCTCTCCCCTAAAGGTGAAAGGAAGCAAATAAATTAATAAAAAAAATATCCCGCCTTTTTGGGGCTCATATAAACAAAAAACTTAAGAGAGTACCTCAGCGTTATATTCTTTAAAGTGATTTCTTGTGAAGATATTGCATTTTTCTAAGACTGAAGGAATTTGTTTTGTCCAGGTCGTGTTTGGATGCTGTCGCATGCGTCTGCGTAATTCATGGTATGCTTCAGAAAGGTGAGCTCTCAACAACGTAGTATTCTCATAAATTATATACTCCCATGAGTATTTTTTAGCATTAGAGATGGATAATCCGAATTTGGGAAATATTACAGGCACTAAATCCTCCTTAGCTGTTTCTATATAGATCTCAAGTATAGTTTTCGAAATCTTTAGAATATTGCTTCCTAATAAATATAAATCAGGATTAACGAGGTTCAAATTAATTTGGTTAAGCCTATCAATTTTATGTGAGTTTGAGTGTGTGCCTTCTGTACTACAGAACAGTATCATTTGGTCGTTGAGAACCTGCAACGCACCTGCCAAAATTTTAATCTTTAGAACGAGTGGAATGAGGTGCTTGGAGTAGAGCCGCATGGGAATCTTCAGCCTTTTCTTTTTAAACGCGTAAACATTATCTCCTACAGATAAGGGTAAAAGGGCGTGGATGTCGGGCACCCACCGCCAGACCTCAGAATCTTTGTCAGGCACAGGGAAGTCAAAAGGGGGTGTAAAAAAAGAAAGCCCCTGCACGCCATCCCTCGTGGCGTCTCGGCCACCACCTTCCATATAACCAGAGGAGCGTGTTGGCGTCTTTATTGTATTTTTATTCCGCCCCTTTACTGAGAAGGCAGATGCACCCAACGTGTGGATGTCCCCGAACTCAAAGCTACGGTCCAGGACCTCACAGTGGTGGATGGCCATGTCCCAGACCCCAACGGACATGTAGAAATAAACCCAGTAGATGTGCAGCATACAGAGTAAGTTGCAGTAGTGATGACTCTCCGATCTGGTCTTGCATGACAGGTAGTGGTTCGCAAGGAGGAGCTGGACGATGCGCAACATAAGAAGGAGGCGGTCGGTGAATTCCGTGAACCATTCTAATCGCTTTTGCGCCTCCGGATTCCCTTGGATACCCCGGAGGATGTCGTGGAAGCAGTATGCGTCCTTCAGGCCGAAAATTTCCAGGTAGGTGGACTCGGATTTGAATTCTTGAAAGTTGGGATTTGTTGGGTTTTTGTTAAAAGAAACGCCCTCGCTGTTTGTGTTGTTTTCCATAGCGTCATCAAGTTGAGGTGAGAGGGAGACCTGCTGAGCAAACTCCCCACCCTCATAGTTCATCCTTAACCAGGGGAAGATCGAGTTAGAAAAAGACCACGTTTGCCATCTCAATGGTGGCGGCTTAATTTTGAAGAATTTAACTAAGGGAGTCCCATTATCATTGTAGAGTAGTTTGAAGCCCATGAAATAGCGACTATTAAATAGGTTTCTTATAATATGAAAGAATTTATCCACGTGGTCCAGATGCATAGTGAATGGGTACAGCATCTTTGGGACATTCAATTCATTTTTTTCAGGTCTTATAGGATCATGGACGACATCCAATGATTCTTCCACCTGCCGTATTCGTGATTCTGGGCCCCGAGGTTGCTCAATTTCATCGTCTTGCCCATCCCTTCCCTGAGGACGCGTTAACAGCAGATCTGCCCTTGACAGGGTAGGGGATAAGGATGCTGAGTCGCTACGCTCAACATCAAATGGAACGACATGAATTTCGAATAGTGAATCATCTGTAGATGCGAATACCTCGGAATACGGGCCATACAGCGACATCTCCAATCTTTTGGAAATCATGGGAAGCATTGGGATATTGCATTCCAATTTTTCGCGTGCGTCAAACAGAGATCCAGATCCTGTTTCGAATTTGATTTTTTCAATATAGTAAAGCTCATCATTCATGATAGTAATCAGAGCACTTAACTCATTCTCTTTTGTGTATGGAATTCGTTTATAGTCTAAGTTTGTATCCCGCAGTATGGGTAAATACAAAAAATCGCTAGTACGCGATCTGTATACAGAACATTTAGATGTAATGAAGTACAGTAAAAAATTAATATTAACCGATGACAGATCTCCGGAATCAATACGGGAATCCTGGGAATCATTATCATAGGTGCTTTCTTCCTCATAAAACCCCATATTAACTGAGGGGATGTCCCTTTCCTGGTTATTATTACCGTTTCCTGGGGGAAACAATATCTCGCGGTTGGGAACGAAAAAAGGTGAGATATAATATTTCTTCATTTTGCTAATTTCAGAGGGACTCAACAAGATTCGATCAGGAATTTCACCCGGCAAATAATAGCAGCCGACGTTTAAGGATGTGGAACCCCATTTACTATCCTCAGCGTCTGGGTTGTCTGTAATAGTGTTCAAATTAATGGTTGTGTACCGTGGATTGGAACCAATTAGCAACCAAAGACGGGCATGCGTGTTTGAGATATATCCTCCGACGCTCACATAAGAATCCTCTTCCTCACAATTTCCTGCTCCTGTTTCACTAGACCAAGCTGCTCCAACTGCACCAGACACCATCTGGCTATGATCTCTGCTCAAAAATGACGGGTGTGAAGCATCGTTGTTTATTTCTCCCGACTCCCCAGGAAGTATTGGCGCAAAGGCCTTAATAGTGAGATCATTCCCACAGACCAGCAGACGTTTCAAGGAAGGTGGGTAAAGAACACATTTGACTACAGATTTATCAGCTTTGATTTTTCCAAGATACTTCCCATCGTTGGTGCGCCAAAACACCACACTGCCGTCATCACTGCCCGTGCATACCAACGTATCATTCTCCATGAAAGTGATGTTCTTAGGCCTCCTATCCTTGTTCTCGCGGCCGTGCAGGCAGCGTACGCCGTCCGAGTCGTTGTTCATGACAACCAAAATGGGTTGACTGTCTGGAAAGTACTTGCACAGCCCGAATAGTCTCCCGCGAGGGACTGCAGAGCCCATAGAATTACAGGAATCCACATCACTCACTGCAAGCTCCCGGTAGGTTTTCTGAAGGCAATCCACCCACGGAACAAGAAAAGCATCCTCATTGTGAAAATTAATCGCTAACCAGTCCCCTCTCTGGCTGAAAGAGAGACCGCTTACACCGCACTGTTGGATTACTGCTTCACCTTTAGTTGTAAACGACGGCCCCATTCTTGGAAACGGTGTTTTTACTACACTAATCGCCGCATATGGCGTGAGCAAATTCATGCGAATATCAACTAGAAATGTCAATCCAATGCTCGTACCACAGGCAATCGTGTATGGGTATCTCTCATGTGTGTCAAGAGCATTGATGGAGTAGAACGAAATCGGAAAGGGTACAGTGAAATTAGTGCTCCAATCAGTGAAGCAACGTGTGTCAATGCCCACCAGGCCACCATTTTCATACCCCACATATGCTGTGTTAGGCCAGCCTGTAGGACATACAATGGAATTTGGGATCGATGAAGATAAGTATTTATTGAAGCAGTCATCATAGAATGTATGCAGTAATATTACACTGCCTTCCATATCGCAAAACAGAACTTTTTCGGAGTCGTAGGGCATAAACTTTGCATCTGAGATTCGTTTAGAGTCCTCGGGAGTGTATCTTCGAATGAATTTCCATGTGTGAGTACAGTGAATGATAAGATGTCTGTCGTCGGAACCTGAAATAAGAAATTGGCCAAGAGGGTCGACATGAATAGTATTGATAAACGCTTTATGGCCCTTCAGTAAATACTCAATATCCATAGAGAGGATACACTTTTCGTTAATCGTCTGCGGGACGTCCGTGAGTAAACTCATCCTTCGTGATGAAGCAAAACCTTTTACTGAAGAGCTATCAAAATCATCCTGCTGAGAATTCGTTGAATCATTGGCGTTCAGACCTCGATCCCGTGCGTGAGGAGTCGTTGAACGGCAGCCGAGAATCTCAACCCCATCAGGATTGGTAACCCGGAGATGGGACCTTTCAGACGAATTAATAAACGCGTTTGAGGACGCGGGATGAAACAAAGTGGATGTCATCAGAGGCTCCGAGAAGACCGAATCGTGTAAATGCGATGCCAAGTCTTCCGTGTGCCGCTCAACAAACAGTTGCCGCGTGTTGAAAAAACGACGATACGGCGGTTGAAAGGGGTTCAAGCGGTACGACAGATTGCATACGGACAACAGAGATGGTGGGCAGTGGCAACCTTCGTGGCTACCCACAAGGTTGGGGTATTGAAATGAAGGATAGAAAGGATAGTTACTGACAGCGTTTGGAAAACAAAACGACAGTTTGGTATCGGACATAATTTTGTAAAAAAGTAGAAACTAGCAGAACTGGCGGCAGAACGCGTAAACTTTACCTATATAATTAGTTGATTTAAATATGTAAAGTTATAGTTTATAATTTTTTTTAAAGTGTAAGGAGATGTGTAGTTAACTAAGAATAGGATAAATAATAAAATCGAAAGACACAAAAGTGTAAATAAAAAAAGAGAATCTTTTATAAAAGAAATAAAGTAAAAAAATAAAAAGAAGAAACAAACTGTCTCATAAAACAGTAAACAAAACCTCAAGTAAAATATAAAGAAAAACAATAAAAGAATAAGAGAAAAAAAGTAAATTAAAACAAACAAAGAAAAATCTAAATTAAATGTATTTGACTCTCGCACAGTGTCGGCACCAACGTAGCACTAGTATTGGATATAGCCACGGTGGTTTCTTCAGCTGTGCTCTCACGTCAAGGCGCAAAATTAAAAAAAAGAAGGAGACAGGCAATACGTTCCAGGTCCTGAAAACGACCCGCACCAAGACGGAACACGCACGCGCAAAGCGGCGCGCGCTGGCCGGTACGGAATGCCGCACAGACC